AATCCCATTATTATGACACCATAACCATGTTCCAGTTCCTGACATACTTTTAAAAGACCCAAAAATCCCATCTGAAAATTACGGACAACCAGGAACACAGTTAAGAATTCAAGGGCTAGCTCACTAGTTAAGTCCCAATTTCATAAATTCATCCAACAAAAATACATTTCATTTGAACCCGAAACTATTCTTCTTTAGTTTGTTTGAGCTGAAATTACTGGGTTGGGGTTTAGGGTTTTAGAATATTTTTTGGGATGGAGGGTTTCCATAATTTTTTAATGAAATTTGTCTCAAAAACAAAGAATGAAGGATAAAACAACACATAATACCATACCTTTGACGACACAAAACATTCGCCCCTTTCTTAGCTTATTACTGGTTTGCTCTTCCGCTTCCGCTGAACAAAAAAAAAAAAGAACATAACAAAACAAAACAAAACCAGATAAGCTTTCTCCGAAAATCTGATCCCGTCCAATTTACGATTTAATTATGAAATTCCGCAATTGAAATAGAAATTCCCTTTCAACACCTTGTTTACGATCCGTCCCAAATAAAAAGATATAATAAAATCAAAATCAAAATCAAAAGTCTCAATTTTTTGGGTAATTAATTACCAGTGGTTTTTTGCTTTTCTTCGGGCAATTTTCCTCTAAGACGTCTGCGTATCGCCTTTTCTTCCCGTAGCGCCTCCCTTTTGCTGTCAAAGTCACCCTTGAACATATAATACACGTCCTCATCGCCCTCATCTTCGTCATCACTGCTGTCGTAAGGATGCCATACTAAAGTCCCCTTACCCCACACCTCCTTTAGATCCAGTGTGGGCCTGGACTCTTTGTTGCAAGGGGGTTCTGATCGAGGTCTTTTCTGGGGCTCGATCTCGCTCAATCTGACTGACAACCTCTTTTCGCTCACGCTCATGGCTGGGTGAAAAAAGAGACGAGAGAGAAATTGCAGTGGTGGTGAGTTGTCTTTTAAAAAAATTAAAATGAATTGAAAAAATACAAACTTAAACCGTATACTGGACTAGACTCAGAAATGGCATCCTCTGAATTCTGAGGATACCTATACAGTACAAAACTTGACAATAAATACTCACAAAAACTATGCAAAGAGAGAGTTGGTGTGTCAGTTCAAAATAATTGGAGTCGCAACCATGCATACACAGAGACCTCTATTAAAGCCACATTCAATCCCAACAAACACCAGATTTCATCCGTTAAAATTTGATTTTAAGACCTTAAACAAGTATGAGCATCTTACTAAGTAAAAGAAAATAGTTTCATGCCAGTACATCTATGCTGCTTGATTTCAGGCTTAGTTAAATGCAAATTATTCACAAAGAACCAGAGAGCAGAAATTATTAGTACTCAAGGTAAGCGAGTTGTTTAAGTTTTCACAACCTTGTTCAAAGACCTAATCACTTGCCATCCCTCTGTAGACTTGGACCCTACAAATTTTCAAGTATTTATTTCTAAGAAAGTGCAATACTCACCCTGTATACCATGTGAGTCAGTTGACTTCGATTACCACTAATATCATGCATAAAACACAAGCACCAAAATCTTAATTTTTAATTGAAAGGAAAAGGCCAAAGGTCCTATTTTTTTACCGGATTCTACTGAGGTAAACTCACTTCAAAGAATCGTGGCTAGTCCAACAAAACAAACCCAAACAATCCAGCATATTTTAAAAGTTGTTAATCATAAATGAATAAGAAAGATTAAGCACATAAATGCATACCAGTTCTGTATGCAAGGAACACATTATCGTTTTCTCTTACAAATTTTGCAGCGAACAACCCTGCCTCTGTGACATTGATGACACATTAAGGATTCCACCCCCCACCCCCAACCTTATATATATTAATCAAATACCCCATCTCTTTTAACTTTCTGCAAATCCCACCCGCACATCACCATCACAGAACCCACCTCTCTCCCTCGCCCAATCATTTTCTTCATCACAGCACAGTTAGCACCCAAACAAATTTTGATGAGCTAATCTAATAGAAGACCCACTAATTTCACCAGAAAAAAGACAAAATGAAGACCCATATATATATCTAACTAATGGGAAGATCCATTAATTTTACCGAAAAAAGAAAAAATAGAAATTTAAACATTCAAACTCATTAAACATTACAGCACATTAAACATGAGAAATATGAAGTTATGAACCCATTAAAGTCAAAAGCCATGAGAGATATGAACGCAAATCAGAAACTTGAACAAGAGAACCATCAAATCTACAGAGAAACAGTGAGTGAGAGAGAGAGAGAGAGAGAGAGAGAGAGATATTACACTGGGGAGACGAAGAGGCCAAAGGTGATGACATTTTCTACCAAAGGTGATGAAGATGGAGATGAATGATGAGATGAGAGCAGTGAGTGTTGTGTGCGGCTAGGGCTAGGAAACGAAGGAGAGGCTGAGAGAGAGTTGAGGGCAGATTTCGGATGTTATAATTTATAAGCAGGGGAGAGAGAGAGAGAGAAGCGTAACTAATAGACATCTTATTCCAAATATTATATATATATATATACAGAAATTCTCTTATGCGGACATCCGGACGTTATTATCGTGCGGACGCAGTGTATTTTGTACTATCCCTCTCTGTTTTCCTGTCTGTTTACAATAGGATCCGCACGATAATAACGTGCGGACATCCGGATAAGAGAATAACTATATATATATATATATATATATATATATATATATATAAGTATCAGATTGTTACCAGCGAATCACTTTGAAAGATGTACTCATTCCCAGATGTACTCAATCCCCAAAATAAATAACCATATTTATTTATGAAAATATGATAATCGCAAAGATAATTGTATAGAATTCAATCCCATAAATAAATTTTAGAAAACAAAACTACAACATGAAGTTCGGCACAAAAAGTTAGAAATCTAGACATAAATATGCAAAATTTTAGAAAATACCATGTTATATACATAAATAAATTTTAGAGTTCAAGTTACATTCATTCCTTAAAACAAGAAACGCTAAAGTCAACCAAAAAATTAGAAATCTAGAATTTTTATGCTATATTAATATATATTTTTTTCTAAATAGTATCAACAAAGTTGTGTTGGTGCGTTGGTGTAATTGGAACGTGAAAGGTGGTTTAGGTTCGAACATTAAGAAAGGTCTATATTTGCAATTATTTTTTTAAAAGGTTGGATCGGTTCGGTTTGAATTGGATTTCAAACTTTGGATCCACTAACCAAACCGATCCAATCGGTTTTTCATTTTTTGGATCCAATCCAATCCACCAATATTATCGAAACCAATAAAATTGGATTGGATTGGTCAGTTTTGACGGATTGGTTTGGAGCCCTAACTCGTTGCATGTTTGGACCTTGGTGGACACCTATTAGAATAAAAGAAAAGTTACAAGAATTGAAAAGGCAAAAATTTGCATACCAAGTAGAAATTAGGAATCTAGAAGAATTAATAAAATCACCAAAAGTAAGTAATTATCCCAAAAGGAAATTAGAAGTACAAAATAGCATAATAAAGAACTAGTATCATTTAGAAGTTTGTAAAGAATCCATAGAAGCATTCCAAGAGCATTTAGGCATACTAAAAGAAAGAGATATACTTAGAAAGTGATGTTGGCGAGTCCTAGTCTTATTCTATTTGGGTTTTATTTATTTTACCTTTTGTGTAGATATTATGTAATTAGGATTCCACTTATTTCCTAATTAAACCCTACTAGGGTTTGTAACCTGTATTATAAATACCTCCTTTCGGAGAATGAAAAATATCTGAAAATATTCTACCATATTGTTTGACTTGGTATCAGAGCCGACTTTCTGGTAACCTGTGTGTGTTGTGCCCACCCGTGTTCTACTCTGTGCCCTAATTTCTTTTTAGGGTTCTTGTGCCCGTGCCTGTGCTGTGTTTATCGTATCTATTTTGTGTTGTGTTTGTTTCCGCTGCTATCTATCATGGGTGATGATTCCATAGTTGTGACTGGTACTAGTGCATCTACACCGAAGGAGGCACGTCCCTCGCGTGATTACTCTACCCTGATTACATCTGACAAATTGGATGGCTCCAATTATGCCTCTTGGTCTCGTGGTGCGCGTATTACGATAACTAGTCGTCGTATGGCAAGTTGGATCAATGGGAAGAAGCCTGCTCCGTCTCAAGACTCCGCTGACTATACCGAATGGGAAGAAGATAATTGTCTGGTGCAGTCATGGCTTCTAAATTCCATGACTAAACCAGTTCGTGCCTTGTTCGAACATGGTGATACTGCTTTTGATATATGGGAGGCTGCTCGGAAGACCTATACTGTGACTCAGAATAGTTCTCGTTTGTTTCAGCTCCGACGGCAATCCATGCTTATAGGTCAGAATGGTGAATCTGTGAAAGTGTTCTATGAAAAACTTCATGCTATCTGGCAAGAGATTGATTGTCTGCGTCCGCATGAGTTTAATTGTTCTACTGATGGGGCTCGTCGTCTGAAAGAAATTGAAGCCGATCGAGTTTATGATTTTCTTGGTGGGCTAGATCCACCGTATGATGGTGTTCGTAGCCGTATTCTTGCTCTTAGTCCTGTTCCACCCCCTCTCGAAGCCTATGCCATGGTCATGGAGGAAGATACCCGTCAGTCCGCTATGCTTGGAGGAGGATCGCTGGCTCTT